ACCACAGTCCCCAGTTGAGGCAGCTAGAAACCCTGCCCCAAGCGGAGACAAAGGCAAAGGACAAAAGAGCCATTTTTTGAAGTTCTAACACCACAAGTGAGGTCACCTAGGGCTGGACCCCTGGCCCAGCCAGCCTCATTCTCAACCTGACACCTTCTTGTTAGGATCACAACCAAGAAGGTAAGAGGCAGAAGTTCATGCTTGGAAAAATTGAGTTACCAGAACCAGAAAGCCAATAGTGACATCATAGAAGTAGTGCTTTGGGTGTGTGAGTGAGGTCAGAAGCTGTGGATGATTTTGACACACAAATGATGTCAGAAGCAGTGGATGCTTTGGGCACATGGATGATGTCAGAGAACAGGGACCCCATTGAGACCCACTCACTGAACTTTGAACTGTCCATGCCATTGTCTCATTGGCCCAGCCTCCAGCCCCAGGTCTGCCCAGAGAAGAAGGTCATCAATATGCCCTCACCTCACTGCCTGGGGCCTCGTCTCCATGTGTCCTTTCAAGGAGGGAAGGTGGAAAGGCTGTGTCTCTAAGACATAACTTTCTAAGAAATTGACCTTTACTTTTTGCCTTCATTTCTGCCTCCTAGTTTTGTTTTGGGTTTTGTTTGTTTTTTTTTTAGTTGGGCAAAGTTCCTTTTACTGTGGCGGAATGCCTAAGTCTCTAGATTCCTTGGCTGGAACATGGTACCAGATAAGGTCAACAAAACAGTGAGCAGGCTTCACTTTCTACAGGACTGTAGTGCATCAATCACCATGTGAAGGGGCTCCAGCAGGCTGGCAATGCCGAGGGTCCATGTAGTTCAGGAGCTCGATGCCCTTGCCATGGCTCTGGCTCTGGCAGCTTTGGCCTCGTCCTCTAGTTCATCTAGGAAACGTTCCTGTGACACTGAGTAGAAGGTGTAGCCATAAATAGCAAGCACTAGGGCCCCAATACCCAGGCCTGTCACGATGTTCCGGGTCCGCCGCTGTGGCAGCGTCTTCTGCCACTGGGTGAGACACAACTGGTGCATGAATTGTAGCTGCGCGGGAGTCAATTTTTCCCGAGTTGGGTCGATGCGCTGAGCCTGCCTCCTAGTTTTTTATTCTCAGCCCAGCACTGCAACCAATAGCTTCAGCCTACATTTTAATGCTCCCTCCATGCTAAATTCTGTTCTGGCAAGGGACCCTAAAACTGCTGTACACTGTACCACCTCTTCCACCTGACACAATTTCTTTGCCCGTGCAAGAAGGGTGGAGGGGGCAATGGCCACACAGTAACATACTCTGTCCATCACTTAACTTCCAGAGGCAGCCAAGGCACCAGTAACTCATTTACATAGCCAAAGTTAAAGCAAAACAAGATCCAAAATGGGCAAAAGACATGGAAAGAATTTTCACAGACGAAGATATTCAAATGGCAAACAGACACATGAAAAAATGCTCCCAATCACTGGCAATAAGAGAGATGCAAATCAAACCCACAATGAGTTACCCTCTCACTCCAGTAAGAGTGGCAAAGTTTAACAGGGCAGTAAGTAATAGATGTTGGAGAAGATGTGGCGAGGAAGGAACTCTCATATATTGTTGGTGGGATTGCAAAATGGTGCAACCCTTCTGGAAGGCAGTTTGGTGCTTCCTCAAAAAGCTAAACGTAGAAATTCCACATGACCCAGCTATCCCGCTACTTGGAATATACCCTGAGAAAATGAGAACTGAGGCACAAACTGAGATGTGTACATCAATGTTCATAGCAGCAATGTTCACCATCGCAAGAACATGGAAACAACCCAAATGTTCAACCACAAATGAATGGATTGAGAAATTATGGTACATTCACACAATGAAATACTATGCGGCACGCAGGAGCAATGACTGTGCAAATTATTACCTAACTTGGGAGGGACTGGAGAGCATTATGTTGAGTGATCTTACTCAGTCCCATAAGGATAAATATTGTATAAAACCGTTATTGTAGAATGAGTATAAGGATCCAGGAGGGGTGGGAGAGACTGGAAGCAGAGGGATGTGGATGTGCAGAGAGAAGGGGGGATTTATCATTGGGTTGTACAATTTGATGGGGGGGTGAGGGAAATGGAAAGAAATTGTTCAAAGTTGTATTTGAATTTTGTAAATAAACTAGTAGAAAAATTAAAATAAAAAGCAATTGTCGTCAAGTTGATTCTGACTCATCCCAGCCCCCATGAGTGTCAGAGCAGAAGGGGCTGCACAGTTTTCAGTGGGAGCAGATCACCAGGCCTCTCTTCCAAGGCTCCTCTGAGTGAAATCTACCCGCCAGCTTTTCAGTTAGTAGCCCAATGCACTGCCTGTCTGCAGCACCCGGGGCTGCTCCTCAAAGTCAAAGCCCAGAGGAGACAAGGCCCGGTCCTGCAGGCAAGGACAGAGCTTCCCAGACACGCAGACGGAGCCTGGGGTGGCAGGGCATTGGGGGCAGGGAGGGGCACTCTGTAGAGCTGGACAACAAGGAGTCTCCGAGGTTAGAGGTCTGGGGAGGTGTTGCTCATGTCATCTAATTCATCCACTGGTTCTCCTCCCTCCATGTCCGTTCTCTGCTCCCGGGAGGCAAGCTCCATTCTAGACGCTGGTTCAGGCCAGTGACCTTGAGAAGTGACGAGCTTCTCACCAACAACGGCCCCGCATCAAATCCTTCCCAGGCGAATGAGGTGGGGAAAAGACCGCAGCTGTATCCACAGTCAGTCCTGAGTCAGGGGACAATTCAGTTATATTCATTTCCTCTCACTGCAGAGCTTAGGGAGCACGGGGGAGCAAGGAGATGGACTAGTGCCACCCCACGTGAAGACTCACTCGGCTTTATGGACAACACCTAACCCCCAGGCCCCGGGGGTTACTGCTCGTGCTGTACCACGTGACTGGAGCAAGGGACAACAAGACCCTCCTCCCACTGCTCATTGCGGGAGAGGAATCTGGGGTAGAAGCTATTGAATTCATAGCAAGTGTCTGCACCAGCCCTCCAGCCTCAGACTCAGGCTCCTCCCTCAATCCTTTTTAAGTGGAAACAGCATTTCCATGGAGGAAAAGAAACTCTTCCCCATGTTTGTAAAGGAGAGAACTGGAGAAAGAAAAATAAGTGCCAGCATCCAACAGGTTAAAAAGCTTAGGTGGGGCGAGCTCTGGTGGCCTAGTGGCAGGAAACTGCACTGCAATCCCAGAGGTGCACAATTCAAATCCACCAGAGGCTTTGCTGAAGAAGGAGGGACAATCTCCTCCTGTACCAGTCAGATCCGATTTGACGGTACACACATAAAAAAAAATAAATAAATAAATAAATATTCTTTAAAAAAAAAGCTTAGGTGGCTGGGGGGCAGGGTGGGCAGGGAGAAAAGTGCAACAATAAATGAATGAATGAATGAATGGAAATCCTAAGTCTCTGTCAACTTTCATTAAATTTAATTTTTTAAAAAAAAAAAAGCTTAGGTGGCATAGAATGTAATGGATAGGGCTGCAAAGTGAAAGGTCAGTGGTTCAAGTCCGCCAGTCGCTCCGAGAGAGAAAAATGGACAGTCTCCTCCTGTAATATTGTTTATATGACCACTGTTACAAGAAGTCAGGGCAGGTCTATACAGAGATAGAATATTCTTTGATGGTAACCAGGGATGGGACGGGGGGAAAATGGAGTAAAACTTAGTAAATAAATCACAGAGCATATTAAGATGTAAGAAAGGAAGAACAATATCCTTTAAGTGGACGACCAGCACAGTATCAGAGTAAAGAAAGAGAAGGCAGACAGGTATAAAAAGGATGGAAGGAAATCGGAATTGCAGGGAAGGAGTGGGCAACGTTTGATTACTCTGCTGTCATAGTCCCTTGGGAATCATGCTGTTGACCTAACGGCATGTCTCTCAGGTGGTTCAAATCCACCAGCAATCTGTGTGGAGAAAGATGGACAATCTCCTTCCACACAATTTACAGCCTCAGAAACTCAGTGGAGGGTCAGCTGTGAATCAGTTCTGACTTTAATAGCAGTGAGTTGTGAGACTGAAAATAATGTGTGAATGCTTGGATGAAAAATGAATTTACTTTGTAAACAAGCTTACACACACACACACACACACACTCTCTCTCTCTCTCACACTCTCTCTCTCTCTCTCTCTCTCTCACACACACACACACACACACACACACACACACACACACACGATTCACAGTCTCCATCCTGACTCAACAGTGATGGGCTGGCTGTGTTAATGATGTTGTGGATCCAAAAAAAGAAAAAGCTCCCTTCAGCATCCGGGCTTCCCTCTTGGGCCTTAGAGATTAAACTGAAATCAGTGGCGTGTGAAGAGCTGCAGACTTGTCACTTGTGGGGGAAGAGAGAGCCGTCAGCGCCTGTCCCCTGCACTTGCCGGGAGGGGATCAATGTCACTGCCGAGGCTCACATGTCACCGGTGTTGGCAGGTACCGCCGTGAGCACGCAGAGAGGCAGCCGTCCCACTGACAAGCGTCAGCTGTCGCTCGGCGTGTTCCCAGCCGGGATGTCACGTACAACAGAAGGAGAAGGCGGGAAGAGCCCCAACAAGCAAGGAGTGTCACTCGGACGATCAGCTCGCATCCCTCCCTCAGCCTCTCACCTCCTGTTCACAACGGAGGTGCCCAGGCCCCTTGCTGGCACCTCAACACCCACAAATGAGCGCTGGGAGTGTGTCCTCTCTCCAGTCCACTTCTTCACTCGTCCTGTCACCATCCACGGAGGCCTGCTGCGTGCAGGGTGTAGTGTGGACATTTAGAAGAGCCCCGGTGTGGACCGCATCATGTCCCAGCATTACTCACCACAGCCAGGAGTGGACCACAGCAGACGAAGGAGAAACAGCGTGGGCTGTGTATACACAACAGAGCATCATTCAGCACAGAGAGAAACAGAGGCCTGACACAGGCTGCAATGTGGACATCAGGAGTGAGATCAGTCAGTCACGGAGGGAAGCACAGTGCATGGCCTCACACCTACGACAGAGCTGGAGCAGGTAAATGACCTGAGTTTATCAGTGGTTGCTTAGGACTGGGGGGAGGGGGGGGAAGTTATTGTCTAAGGGGTGCTGAGTTCCTCTTTAGGGGTGGTGCTCAGGTTTGGGGAATAGATACGGGTAACGGGGCTGCCAATTGACAGGTGGGTACCTGTCCTCCTATAAACTTTCACAGTTGCAGAAAGCTGATGGGGAGCAGTCAGGAGTTGGAATTGACATAACCACAGTGGGGTTCCTTTTAAGTTACTCTTGTTGTTGTTGTTGTTGTTGTTGTTGTTGTGTGCCGTCGAGTCGCTTGCGACTCATAGCGACCCTATGTACAACAGTCCCAAACCCTGCTCTATCCTGTGCCAATCGCACTGCCTCTGACACACCCATCCCAATTATCCCAGTCACTAAATCAATCCACCTCATAGAGGGTCTTCCCCTCCTGCGCCGTCCCTCCACCCTACCAAGCATGATGTCCCTCTCCAAAGACCCGTCCCTCCTTGCAACATGCCCAAAGTATGTCAGACAAAGCCCCAGAATCCTTGCCTCCAAGGAGTAGCCTGCTTTAACCCTCTCTAGGATGAATCTGTTTTCTTGGCAGTCCATGGTACATTCAATACTCCTCCAGCACCACAGCTCAAAGGCGTCAATTCTCCTTCTGTCCTCCCTAGTCATTGTCCAGCTCTCTGATGCATAACAAGTGATTGCAAAGACCATGGCCTGTATCAGGGGCACCTTTATCTCCAAAGAGACACCGTTGCTCTTGAATTGTTAAAATGGCAAACTTTTATTACATGCCTACTCACTTATAAACTCTCTCATTAGCTGACATTCCGCATTTACAAAGGTCGTGAAAAATCTGCCGTCCAACGGCTTTTGTGCATTGATGACATTTATCAGGAAGCAGCAGATGCAGAAGTTCAAGGTAAGAGTAATGACGTATGGTGAGGGTTAGACATTTACTTGGCTAGGTCGTGATTCTCAGTGGTTTGGCAGTTATGCAATGATGCCATTTGGCAGTTGTGTAATGAAGTAATCACCTTCTGTCTTGTGACCTAATGTGGTCATCCTGTTTTCATATAACACCAATTTTCATATACAGCCTGGTCTTTGGAACTTAAGCATATTAATGAGTAAGGACTATGTACAAAACAACAACAAAAACAAAATAAAAATGTAATAAATGAGAAAGGACTAGATGTATATGTTTTACCACAATGAGATAAAAATATATTTGAAATCCTACCACTGTCTGTGCAAGAGTCATAGCAGGTGTGGACAGACAGCAGCATCTCGGGTCCTATGTAGGACAGGTGGGGGCTGCAGTGGGTGCACCAAGATTTTTATTTTGTTGTTTTTGTTAAGAAATACACAGCAAAACATGCAATGATGCAAATGTTCCCACATGTATGAAGTAGGGACAGTGATGACATTCTTTGTGTCATGCCACCATCCTCACCCTCCTTTCCTCAGTTGTCTCACCTCCATTAACATTAGGAGGACTTGAAGCATTTGCTGCAGAAGATCAAGGACTGCACGCATTATGCATTATGTTGGATTGCATCTCAACAGAATGAAAACAGTGTCAAGCCAGAAGGGCCACCCAGCCTGACCTCCTCCTGGAATAAGAATGGAGGCTGAGCCCCAGGAAAGAGCAGTGACTTGGGCCAGGCACAGAGCTGGCTAGAGAAGAACCAGGATATGTCAAGGGTAGCTGAGCCATAAAATATCTTTGACCAGATCAGAATCTAAATTAAGCCTACTGAAGGGAAGAAAGGGGGGGGGGAAGGAGAGATAAAAACGTCCCTATAGACAGCTAGAATTTGCCAAGCCATAATTCAAGGAGCTGGCCAACAAAAGTCACATGTGACATAGAGCAAGGGGCGGGAGAGATGGCTCAGTCAAGGTCCCTGCCCTGACCACTGTCTTGGGCTATCTGTGGCCTCCTTTGGGAACAGACAGGCCCATGTTCAGGGGAGGGAATGACAGCTGGCCTTTCCTCACTAAATCCAGTGACTGGTACTGATCACAGAGAAGGTTCTGGACAGCAGCCCGCTCCCTGCACAGCCACTCTGGGCCCGACAACTGGAGGAAACTGAAGACGCTTGGGCAGCACTGCCCTCAGAGCCAGTGGGTCTCCCAGGCCTCGGTAAGGGATGCCGTGTAAGCAGGCACGGTCTGAAGAGCTGAGTCTGCCCTGGGCACGGCACAGGGTACCTGCCTTTGAGGCCCTTGTGAAGACTGCCTGGAAGCGTTTAGAACAGGAGCCAAACACAGGATGGGAGGACACTTGTCATTGGGCAGGAGGGAGCCTACACGTCTGGGAGCAGAAGCTGGGCATTGACTGGACCTCTAATTGAGGGGCTTTCTCCCTACCTGGATGATGGTGGTGGTGAGGATGAGGATGATAAAGGAGGAGGAGGAGGATGGTGATGATGGTAATGGCGAAGATGAGAATGAGAAGTCAGAGAGATGAAGACAAAACAGATTATGACAATGGTGGTGATGAAGATGGTTGTCAGAAGCACTGAGCACTGAAGGGTCCGAGTGATCCCAGAGCTTGGACCTTTCCTGTGGGTTAAGAGGAAAGAGGCCCCTTACGACGCTCAACCTAGAACAAGCTCAGCTGGGGCCTCAACAGCATCTCAGGCTCGTAGAGAAAAGGAGCACTGAGAGCACAGTGAATGCTGAAATGTGACAAGTCACGAGCTGAGAGTTTGAGGACATTTCCAGTCCCTGCAGAAAACAGGAAGGAGCCAGTGTCCAGAGAGGCCAGATTCTAATCCGGCTCAGTGTTTTTAACCCACTGATCCACCAGACATGCACATACTCAGCAAATCCTGGCCACTAAATTATCCAGTCAAGTCCTCAGCCCAACCCCTTAGCAACTCCACATCACTTTACACCTTGTGTTCTTGCGTATTGAATCCCTGGGTGGCAGGGAGAGTTAAACACTCAACCACTAACCAAAAAAAAAAACAAACCACTAACCAAAAGGCTGAGAGTTCAAATCCACCAAGAGGAATTTCAGAAAAAAGGTCTGGCAACCTGATAACCCAGCCATTGAACGCTCTTTGGAGCACAGTTCTACGCTGACACATGGCATCACCATGAGTTACTATCAACTTGATCTTTGATATTTTTTGTCCATTTATTCTTGTATACTCTTGGTACCAACAGGCAGGAAATTATAAGATGTATTGCAATGGGAAAGTCTGCTGTTAGGACCTCTCTAAAGTACTGAAGAGCAATGGTGTCTCTCTAGAGACTAAGGTGCACCTGATACAGGCCTTGGTCTTTGCAATCACTTGTTATACGTCAGAGAGCTGAACAATGACTAGGGAGGATAGAAGGAGAATTGATGCCTTTGAGGTGTGGTGCTGGAGAAGAGTATTAAATATACCATGGACTGATGAGAAAACAGATTCATCCTGGAGAGGGTTAAACCGGGCTGTTTCTTGGAAGCAAGGATTCTGAAGCTTTGTCCGACATACTTTGGACATGTTGCAAGGAGGGACCAGTCGCTGGAGGACATCGTGCTTGGGAGGGTGGAGGGACAGTGCAGGAGAGGAAGACCCTCTATGAGGTGGGTTGATTCAGTGACTGGGGTAATCAGAGTGGGTGTATTGGAGACAGTGAGATTAAAACAGGCTACTACAGGGTGTAGGGCTATTGTACATAGGGTTGCTATGAGTCACAGGCGACTCAACGGCCCATAACAACAACAACATTCTTGTATATTACAATTGTCATCCTGGCCTCGTCTTTCTCTCCCACTTTCATTTCTTCCTTTTATCTCGCTTGTCTCTCTCCCTTTTTATCTTAATGCATTGTTTCAGCTGCACAAGCTGCCTCAGCTATTTTTGGAATGAGCTGGAGAATAAAGAAAGAGCAGTAGAAAACAGCTAATAATATAACAGCAGCCGGTACACACAGCGCCTTTTCCCGCGGAAGGCATTCAGCTCACCCTTTTTATGTATCAGCCCATTTGATCTTCACAAGACTGAGACAACAAACACAGCAGAGAGCCTGTTATTAAATCCATTTTAGAGATCAAGAAGCAACGCGGAGCAACGAGAGAGTCTGAGTAAGGTCAGCTTGTCTGGAACTGGAAGCAGGTTTAACCACAGGCACGGTGGTCCCGGGGGTGGCCGCGGGGCAGACGTGGATTCACGAGGACTTTGTGTAGCATCTTCTACATTCTGTGTCGAAATGCCGTCACGTTGCCCAGTCGGCTCCTTCTTCCTCATGCTTTGTAATGTTTGAGTCCTCGCTGTGGAGAGTGTGTCACCTCTTCTCAAGGCAGGGCCTCCTCGTTTTCTCTGACCTTCTACGACACTAAGAATGACGTCCTTTTCTAAGCATTCAGTTAGATGATCTGTCCTGATGACTGGCCCCAAGGAGCAGGAGAAAGACGGACAGTCTCCTCCTGTGTGAACTAGAGCCTTACAAGCCCAGGGAAGGGAAGGTGAGGTCTGAGTCAACCTTCCAAACCCAGAGGACGGTCAGGTCTGAGTCTACTCTCACTCAACAGCAACAAACTGAGATGTTCAAAGGAAACGAGAACAAGTCTCTCAATCCTTGCTTTTCAGGAACATTGCAGTGTCACTTCTTCCAATATTGGTTGGTTCGTTCTGCTGGTCCATGCATATTCAATGCTTCTCGCCAGCACCATATAGACAGGCAGCTCCCAATCCCTCTCTCAGCCTCAGCCAGGCTCAACTGGCAACTTCCGAGACACGGAGACCAACAGCCCTTCTCGAGCCCCGGCCCCAAGCCTCCACGGCTCACCCAGGGAACTTCTGAGAAACCAGTTCCCAGCTTTGCAAGTAGCAGGGAAGACGAGAAATGGGTGAAAATTGATGGTAAGAAAATGTCATGTTAACCACCGGTGAAGTTACAGTTCTAAGATGCATGTACTGCACAATAAACCACCCTGCCTGTGGATATCAGTATAGAGTACAGGGAACATATTGTAGAGAGGCTCTGCAGAAAACTCATTTAGCTGCATCCTGTTTTGCATGCAATCACGTTTGCATCACTGCACACTGCAGCCATGCCACTGGCGGGCCAAGCTCTCCAGTCTGTGAGCTGGTGGGAATGACGAGACACCTCCGGAAACCTGAGGTCCCTCTGCATTCAGGTTCCCTGCCCTCCAGGATCACAAAGCCACAGGGCAGGGCCAGGTGAAGCGGCAGGCCACTGAGAAAAAGCAAGGTCCTCACAGCATCCAAGCAGCAATGCCAGGAGCAAGACCAGCACGTCTCTCTCCCGTCCCCAGAGACACAGGTGCCCCGAGACCCCGAAGTATCCAGTGCCCGTCACATGTCTGACTTCTCGAGCCAAACTCCATCTCTCCAGCAGAGCACTATCTTTCATCCAAGTCGAGCCCCCAGGGGCTTGATGCCAGTAATGGGATTTGCCTGGAGGTCGTCCAGGAAACACTCTGAATCATTTGCAAGTGCCGTGAATGTTGCAGGTCCACCTGCCTCACACACGTCCACACACACGTGCACACGCACATGTGCACACAGCATGGATGCACACATGCACAAACACAAAGTACACACTGCTGCACGTAGCACAGGTGTACACACAATACATGCACACAGCACATGCATGTATGCGGGACCCAGAGAAGTATCTGCACGCAGCAAAGATCCATGCACAGCATACACACACGGCACACAAGTGTGCAAACAGCATGCACACAAACACACGTGCCACAGACTCACAACATTTGCACACTGCACACGGGCACACAGCACACACGCTCACATAGCACCCCCCATACACAAAATGCATGCACCCCCCATACACAAAATGCATGCACATACAGTACACTACATAGCACATGTGCACACACATCTTCTGTGTGTTGCCTGTGCATAGAACATACTCAGGCAGCATGCGCGCACACACTGTGCACGGGCACACGTACACGCGTGTGCACCCACCACACCACACAGGCAGGCCCTGCTCTTCGTCTCACTCACGAGAGCTGAACCGCTGGTCCACAGGAACTTCCGAGAAGATGAGGCATGAACTAAACATGAACTTGAAATTAGACTTAGCGGGAAGGACGTGTGGAGAAGCACACAGGGTCATGTCTGCGCGGCACCAGAGACCAGCCTCCCTGGCCCATGAGTTGTTTAGCTAGAGCCGATTCAGGAGTGAATGGCGCCCGTAAGAAGGACAGTCAGAGAACTCTCAGACCCCTTCCAGCCCCTGTGCAGACAGCAGGAGACAAGCCAGCAGAAAAGCTGCCTCCTTTCCCCAGCGTGGACCGACACCTTGAACCACCGAGGCACAGGGAACCTCTGCTCCTTTCACGAAGGGGAAACTGAGTCTCAGTGTCCACCCTCAGCAGAGCAGCTGCTGTCTCCCAGCATGCCAGCAGCCTAGAGGCTTCCAGCCACACCTCAGAGGTCTTCCAGAATCCTGTTTCAGCCTGAAGGCCTCTTGGCCCTGCCTCTTCTCAGAGTGTTCAAGCCAGGGCACCTGATGTCCCAAAGAAACAAAGAGAGGTTTTCCCTCCCCTCAAGGCAAGAGCCCTGGGCCTGGGAATGCTTGCCCTCTCTGGGCCGTGCTCTCCCCATCTGTAAAATGGGGTAAGGTTGAGGGAGCTCTGATGGCCTAGTGGCAAGAAGCTGCATTGCAATCCCTGAGGTACACGGTTCGAATCCACCAGATAGCCTGCTGGAGAAGGAGGGGCAGTCTCCTACTGTACCAGTCAGATCCAATTTGACAGTACACAAAAAGAAATAATAAAATAAAATAATAAATAAAATCAATAATAAAAAAATATAAATACCATTAAAATGAATTAAAAATAATAAAATAAATTCTAAATAATAATTTTCTTTTTTTTAATGGGGCAAGGTTGACCTGAGTGTCCTACATCTGTGCTGCTATGGGACCCTCTGTCAGCCCGCGTGGACAGTGCAGGTGGGGTTTGCCCTCCCTGGACAAATGGATGGGCGTAAGCCTGGTAGATGTCATGAAGACGGTAGAGGAACGGGTAGGACATGCATTTGTGCACTAGGTGGGGGCCTTTGAGCATAAAAGCCTCAGCTTTTCCTCTCAGGTCCTCTGGGAACTAGGCCCTGAGGCCATGCCAGTGCCTCGGGCACCACCCTGCTCTGCCCACTGGCTCCAGGCACATGGACAAGCCTCTAATGTTATACAAACCACAAACCAAGCCCACCACACCCCAGGGCATTTGCACTTGGGCCCTTGCTCTCTTCCCCCGAGCCTCACAGGACTGACTTCCCATTCGTCACCTGTCTATCAGGTGAGCTCTCAGCCACCCTCACCTTCCCCAGACAGTCGAGATTGGCCCTGCCTCCTTTCCGGGTTCTCCATCCAGTGTCCTTCTTTTATTCTATTCCAGTTGGAAAAGAACCAGAATCCCTCCACCTTCAAGTCTATTCCAACTCCTAGCAACTCACTGGCAGGTCTCAGAGGCTGTAAATCTTAACAGGAGGAATATGCTCATCTTTCATCCAAGAACCATCTAGTAGGTTCAAACAGCTGACCTTTTGGTTAGCAGCCCACCCATCATACATTGCACCACCAGGATCCTTTAGCCATACCTGCTCCCCTGAGCTATAATCTCCTCCAACGCACAGACCATGTCTGTCTTGTTTGTCAAGTCCTCAGCATCCAGAAAGGTGCCACGCACACATTTAAAGAAAAAAGGTGCCTTGCACAGATGTAAAGAAAAAGACAGGAGAACATTGCTGCCGTGAGGTCAGTTCCACCTTATGGAGATCCCATGTGTGCAGAGCAGGACTGCGTGGAGGGTTTGCAAGGTTGTGAACTTTTGGAAGCAGATTGTCAGGCCTTTCTTTTGAGGGACCTCTGGGTAGATTAGAATGACCAACCTTTCCATTCTTAACTGAGCACTTAATCATACGCACCACTGAGCCCTCCACAGATTTTAAATAAATGGAGAGGGACAGGGGTCAGGGACAACTGGGGAACAGGACAGGACTCTTGGGTCCCAGTGGGCCTTGCAAGACCATGAATTAAAGCCCAGGAGCTGGACCTTTCCTGCTGAGAGCAGAAGAAAGGACTGGCAAGGGGCTGACCCCCGAGCACAGGCTCGGCGGAGGGAGGAGTTGACATGAGAGGCCTCTGCCTGCACATAGACTGTGTCATGTCCTTGGTCCCGGCAGCACAGACGTCCCAGGAAACCCTTGCCTGTCCTCAGCTGAAGCCAGAAGTCCTGGGATAAGAACACCTGCCTATGACCAGCCTCAGCCACTCTGTGGCCTGCAGTTACCACGTGCAAGCTCATCTCACTGACTCATGCCCTGCCATCAAGTCGGCTTCAGCTCAGCAACCTCCCATCAGGTCTCCAGGACTAACTCTCAACTCGAGGAAACAGACCATCTTTCTCTTGCAGAACAGCTGGTGGATTTCAGCATCCGAGGCTGAACGGCCTTTTGGTTGTTAGCAGGCGAACGGGTAGTCTCATTTAACCCACCCTGAACTCCAGCCCAGTGGACGCTGCACGGCCACAGGCCAGAGAGACTGGATGTGTGGGGACGGGTAGTCTCATTTAACCCACCCTGAACTCCAGCCCAGTGAACGCTGCATGGCCATAGGCCAGAGAGACTGGATGTGTGGGGTCCACCGACACTTCTACGAGTCAGCAGAGACACCTGGTGGCCGCCAGCTTCTCCCCACAGACTCACAGGGGGTCCTAGGCCCTGCTTGCACAGTGACCACCCACTCCTCCTCGCCCTCTGACCCTGCTGAGCAGTTCTCACAGCGGTCCGGGAGCTCGGCCATCAAAGTCCCTGCAGTTCAGTCCAAGCATGCACATGTCTCCCTGTGAACACGGGTTGTCTCTTCTTTCTCAGGTGTACAGCAGGCAGCCTCCAGGGGTCTTGAGATGGGGAGGGAGTGGTCTTCTAGATTGTTCTTCCCTGTGTCTTTTAGGGCTGTGATCCCCCTAGAATCTGGTACAGTGGGCTGGGACGAGGGGCCGACTCAAGGATGAGGTTGTCTTGGTAACAGGCAGTCTGAGGATGAGGATGCCCTGGTCCTGGTTTAAGTTGGTCTGAGCCAGCTGCTAGTGACCTAGGACCCAGGTCCCAGCTGGTAGGGTTAGGCTGCCAGGGCCCCTGCCCAGGCCTGAGCTACCCAGGTCCAGACAATGGGGGCTCTCTCTGAGTGCTGTGGCATGAGTCAGGACACAGTAACCCTCTAGCCCCCCCACTTCAGAGGCTTAGCCAAGGCTCCTGGTCCTCTGGGCTCAGTCTGATGGCGCTGGTCAGCCTTCACATCCCAGTCTCTGATGGGGCTGGGTGGTTCTTCCCCACTTGCAGCCACAACATCTCGTGGTCTTCCAGACTCTGAAGACTCTTGGCCCATAGATGACAAGGCCACTTCCTGTCAGTGTCCATTGACCAGCCTGAATCAATGACCCCAGGGGAGGGAGCGTTGCCAAGGAGCTCACGGACTGAAGGAGCAGTGGTGGCATTTGCTCAGTGTCAGTGGATTTCCTGGGATGACACAGAACCTCACACAGATTCCTTCATCCCTGGGGACCCACAGAGAGAGACCGTCCCTTTCTGGGCATGGCAGCTGGACTCTGGGTGATCCTCTGAGCAGGGCCTTGGTGCCCCTCCTCTTGGGGCCACAGGTAACACAGGACACTGTGGAGAGAAGGGAGAGGGGTGCTCTGGCCAGAACGGCACCTCCAGAATCCTCCAGGCAGAAGCAGGCCACAGCCACACCAATCTGCCCCAGCCTCCCGCCGCCTTGGCACATCTCCACCACTCTGGGGGCCAGGCCAGTTCAGAAATGCTATCACACTTAGTGGGGGAAGGGTGGGAGCAACACACAGCCCTCCCCCAGCAACCCCCCTCCAATTCTCTGCCACGCATATGTTGTTGTTAGAGCCCATCAACTGCGACTCACAGCAAACCTATGAACAACAGGTCTGAACCCTGTGCTACCCTGTGCCATCCTCCTCATGTCCAACATGCCCGAGCCCAGTGCCACAGTCACGGTGTCAACCCGCCTCGTCAAGGGTCTTCCTCTCTTTCTCTGACCCTCCACCTTTCCAAACATGATATCCCAAGAAGTGGTACCTCCTAAGAACATTGCCCAGAGCATGTGAGACAAAGTTCATACCCTTGTTTATGACGCAGAGGAAAAGCAATGTCTCCAGGATAATCTGGGAAAGCCCTTCACCTGGAACACCTGGAATTCTTCCTCTCTTCCTCCTTCGATGCCACAGACCAGGACAGAGGCTCCAAGGGCTGGGTGGCCCCATAATTAATAGTGCTCTCCGAAATACAGAACGAGTCCTGGTGGCATAATACATTGCATGTTGGGTTGGTAACAGGGAGGTCAGTGGTTCAAATCCCCCAAGCGCTCCATGGGAGAAAGCTGGGCAGTCTCCTTCCAGAAAGATTTGCAGCCTCTGAAACCCCGGGTTGGGGCAGGGGGTTGCTAGGAGCCAGATTCGGCTCGATGGCAGTGGGTTGAGTGCATTGCGGAGCAAGCCCTGGTGACATGGTGGTTAAAGTCCTCAGACGCTAACCAAAAGAGCAGCGGTTCTAAACCACCAGCCACGCCCAGGGAGGAAGATGAGGCCGCAGTCTGGGAACCCTGCGGGACGTCTCTACCCTGCCCTACAGGGTCACGTGTCTGCTCTGGAGTTTTGGTCAAGTGTGCTCTTCCTGATAGCATTTATACCGACCAAAAGCATAAAGAAAAAATGCTCACCTTCCCTATAAGATCTCCCCAGAGTGAAAAAGTTCTGAACTCAAACGGTGGGGACAGTTACACAAGCTTCTGAATATACTGAAAACTACTAAATTTCCATATGTAAGGTTGCCTTCTATGGTATGTGACTTACATCTTCCTTTCTTAAAAGTCATCATCAGAAGAAAGGACTCCCAGGCTAAGAGCCCCCAGCCAGCCATTGGGCTGACTGCTGGTGGGGACTGTGCCTCACCCGGGCTGACGTCAGTCCATAGGGCTTTGTGGGTGTTTGATAGGGGACCAGTGCCACCTAGTGTTCACAAGGATAAATAGCAAAGAAGTAAGGCAGCGTGTGAGGCAGTTTCTAGGGAGATGCCTGGAGA